GTCACCTATGGAGACAACACCAAAGGAAAGATTCTTGGTGTTGGAATAGTTGGCACACCTCCATCCATTCAAATTGAGGATGTTCTCTATGTTGAAGGATTAAAGCACAATCTTCTTAGCATAAGTCAACTTTGCGATAGAGGGTTCAAGATCAAATTCAACAAAGATGAATGTCTCATTATGGATGAGGCAACCAATGAGGTAAAACTCAAAGGTATAAGAACTAACAATATTTTTATGATTACTTTAGATGATTTGTCTCTGAAGGTACAATGTCTTATGGTAAACAACAATGACGCTTGGTTATGGCACAAGAGGATCGCTCACATTCACATGGAGCACTTGAACAAATTGGTTAAGCATGACTTAGTTATTGGTCTACCAAAGATGAAGTTCATCAAAGACAAATTATGTAATGCATGCCAAAAGGGCAAACAGACCAAAACAACTTTCAAATCTAAGAATGTGGTGTCTACTACAAGACCACTACAATTGTTACACATGGATCTCTTTGGTCCATCAAGAACAAAAAGCTTCGGAGGTAATGTATACGCTTTAGTCATTATTGATGATTTTTCTAGATATTCTTGGACTTTGTTTCTTGTGCAGAAAAGTGATGCTTTTAAAGCTTTTAAGAAGTATGCTAAGCAAATCCAAAATGAAAAATCACTAAAGATTGTATCCATAAGAAGTGACCATGGTGGAGAATTCCAAAATGCTCAATTTGAAGAATTTTGTGAAGAACATGGTATCTCTCATAAATTTTCAGCACCTAGAACTCCACAACAAAATGGAGTAGTTGAAAGAAAGAATAGGTTTCTAGTGGAACTTGCAAGAACAATGCTTAGTGATGCAAATCTTCCTAAATATTTTTGGGCGGATGCGGTTAGTACGGCATGTTATGTTGGAAATTGAGTTATCATTAGACCTATAATAAAGAAGACTCCATATGAACTCTTCAAAGGAAGAAAGCCAAATATTGCTCACTTTCACATTTTTGGATGCAAGTGCTTTGTTCTTAATAATGACAAAGATAATCTCGGTAAGTTTGACGAGAAATCCGACGAAGGTATATTTCTTGGTTAATCGCTTTCTAGTAAAGCATATAGAATTTATAATAAAAGAACTTTAACTATTGAAGAATCTATGCATGTATCTTTTGATGAAACTAACCCCTCCAAGGAGGAAGTAGTTGTTTGTGATGATGATGATCCTATAGATTTACCCTCGGAAGATCTTTCAATTGATCAAATTAAGAAATCACTGGAAAATCAAGAAAACATTGTACAACAAGATTCAAACACCAATGATCTACCAAAAGAATGGAGAACTCATAGAGACCATCCTATTGACAAAATTATTGGTGACATTAGCCAAGGAGTATCAACAAGATTGAATATAAAAGATGCTTGCTTAAACATGGCGTTTGTTTCTCAAATTGAACCTACCAAAGTTGATGAAGCCTTAGGAGATGATCAATGGATTATTGCTATGAAAGAAGAATTAAATCAATTCGAGAGAAATCAAGTTTGGGAACTTGTTCCTAGACCAAGTGGTAAACACATCATAGGTACCCGATGGGTGTTTAAGAACAAACTTGATGAGAATGGTCTAATTGTTCAAAACAAAGCAAGGTTGGTTGCCCAAGGTTACAATCAAGAGGAAGGAATCGACTTTGAAGAAACATTTGCTCCGGTTGCAAGGTTAGAAGTTATACGTCTTTTACTTGCTTATGCTTGTTCATTAAATTTTCAGCTTTTTCAAATGGACGTCAAAAGTGCATTCTTGAATGGATACATCAATAAAGAAGTCTATGTCAAACAACCCCCGGGATTTGAAGACTTCAAACATCCTTCACATGTCTTTAAGTTGAGAAAGGCTCTTTATGGCTTAAAGCAAGCACCAAGAGCATGGTATGATAGACTTAGCAATTTTTTGTGTGAAAAAGGTTTCGAAAAGGGTAAGGTTGATAAAACCTTGTTCATTAAGAAAATCCAAAGTAACACTTTATTGGTTCAAGTCTATGTTGATGATATCATTTTTGGATCGACTAACAAAGAAATGTGTGAGGAATTCTCATTGATGATGCAAGGAGAATTCGAGATGTCTATGATGGGAAAGATGAACTACTTTCTTGGACTACAAATCAAGCAACTAGAAGATGGAATCTTCATCAATCAATCTAAGTATTGCAAAGAATTATTGAAAAAGTTTGATATGGACAATTGTAAAGCCATGAATACTCCAATGGGCTCTGGTACATATGTTGATCAAGATGAATCCGGTACTCCAATTGATATTACAAAGTACAGAGGTATGATTGGTTCTTTATTGTACTTGACGGCAAGCCATCCTGACATCATGTTTAGTGTTTGTCTTTGCGCTCGCTTTCAAGCAAATCCAAAGGAATCACACCTCATGGAAGTTAAAAGGATCATGAAGTATCTTAAAGGAACAATCAGTGTTGGCCTATGGTATCCAAAAGGTAATACTTGCACTTTAATTGGTTATTATGACGCGGATTATGCAGGTTGTAAAACTGATCGTAAAAGCACAAGTGGTACTTGTCACATTATTGGAAATGCATTAGTATCATGGGCTTGTAAAAAGCAAGCATGTGTTTCTCTTAGCACGACCGAAGCAGAATACATAGCAGCAGGTAGTTGTTGTGCACAAATTCTTTGGCTCAAGCAACAACTCCGTGATTACGGACTTGATCTCGGATGCATTCCTCTTCGATGCGACAATACAAGTGCTATCAATATTACAAAGAATCCGGTCATGCATTCAAGAACCAAACATATAGATATTCGACATCATTTTCTCCGTGATCATGTACTTAAAGGAGATGTCGAAGTCACTTTTGTGGATACTCATAACCAACTCGCAGATATCTTCACTAAACCGCTTGCTCGAGAACCTTTCTTCAAAATCCGAAGAGAACTTGGTATTTTGGATGAAGGTGATATCTAATGTTTCTCTTAAGATGCACGTCTTAATTTTTATATTTCACTCTTTTTCCCCATCTTTTTTGATGTTAACAAAGGGGGAGAAGAATATGCATGTGTGTTGTTTTGTTTCAACGAAATTGCAGGCCCAAATAAATATCAAACTCACTCCAAAATTCAAAGAATCATGGACTCAGGGGGAGCATACAATTTAGGGGGAGCCTTGCATTTGCTCAACATGTTTGCTATACAAAACAACATAAAACATTTCAAGAAATCGTTTTCAAGACTTGGTTGTCATCATCAAAAAGGGGGAGAATGTAATTGCAAGCTTCTCAAGTCATATTTAAAGCATGTGTTTTGATGAAGACAACATGGACATCAACATTCAAAGGATGTGCAAAAAGCTTATCACCATCAAATAAAAGTCTTGAAGATTATTGAAGAATTATTGAAGAATCATCAAATGTCAAATGGTATAAATAATTCTTAAAATCTTGAATATAGATGTTCACAATATGCATTCATCAACATATACATATTCCATAACTTTAACATTAAGAAAACTTTGTTTGAAATATCTTTCAAAAAGTATTTTTGAAAATAACCCTTTAGGAACCGGTTCCTCCCTAACAGGGAACCGGGTTCCAGAATTTCTCAAAAAACATGTCCCTGGTTTTTGTACCAGGAACCGGGTTGTACCAATAGGGGAACCCGTTCCTGCGTGATAATTTTGAATTTCAACTTATAACGTTCACTAAGAACCGGGTTCTGTCAGTGTCGGAATCGGTTCCTAGCGAACCAGTGCAACTTTTACTTTGTTTTTTGAATATTTTTCAAGTGGTATCTTTTCATGAATGCATTGCAACTTTTCATATGAATTGGCATGAATGAAGAGGTTCTTATGACTATAAAATGCAGATTTTCTTATTTCAAAAAAACAATGCTTCAATTTTCAAATTAACAAAAACCTTCTTCATATAAACAATTTTTCATCATTCACATTTTGAACATAAACTTTCATGTGTTCATAATTTTGTGAAACTTGCCATATACACTTTCATTACCATTACAAGTTTCATACATACATTGTGAACATTTATATACACTGTTGAGAATTGTTTTTATCTTGAAGAAGAAGATCAATTGAAGATTGATAAAGCTCTCCATATACTTCAAACTAAATCATTGTATTACTTAAAGATTTTCCCTTACTATTCAGGATTGTTGGAAGTAAGTGTTGTGATTTGAAGAGGATTGTTCTTCATTCACATTAGTGTTTGTTTGGTCTTAAAGGTGTTAAGAACCTTTGATCACCCTATAGGTTAGATAGTAAGCATAGGCTGTACAATCATTCTAACTATAGTGAAATCTCTTTCGTGTTGGAAAGGGGACTGGAGTACTCTCGGATTGTGAGGGGAACCAGGATATATCACCGTGTTCTTTACTTTTCCGCATTTATCGCTTTCATCACCATAATCAGGAAAAGATAAAGATATAATCAAAACTTTCAAACACTTAACCAAAATTACTACCAAGCATTCTCATAAAACCGAATAAATTTTTATAAGACCTAATTCACCCCCCCTCTTAGGCACTCTGAGACTTACAGTTATGGGTTCTATTTGAGAGTCACAATTGAAAACAATTAGTTGTAAGTTGGCAATCTGTTGGTTCTGTTATTGGATACATTTCTGTTATACAATTAGAAATTTGGTTAGGATGGTTAGTTAGTATTCTGAACTGGCCCGACAGCTTGAATGGGCCCAGTCTAACCCTTTCCTCTGGTATGGCCCGTACAACCATGACACGAACCGCCCGCTCTCCATCGGGCAACATTGACCCTTTTCTCGAATATCTATTCCAGATAGGATTTGGACAAAATCAAAGTCCTTATTAGCCACAACAACAAAAAATTCTTCCTGGGTATTAGTATTCAAAGATGGAAGAATGAAGGGAAGCCAAAAGAAAGGAGTGAGAGCCTCCTACTTGATACCTTCTAACAAACAATCCAGTTAGGAAGAACCTTTTTCAATAGGAGTAAACTGGCTATCACCCCTGACTTCTCTTAACAGGAGAGGGAGACAGAGAAGGCTCATGAATGGGAAAGTCAGTCGCCACATTAGTGAATTGTTCCACCTCAAGAGTGGTATCCGAGATAGTAGTCAAAACTACTTCCAAGACAACAACTATAGTCATTATTCGAACCTCTAGAGTAGAAGTAAAGGCCACAATAAGAGTCACCAGAATATGGCTAGACAAGTCGGTCATAAGGCCTTAATCCTTAGCGAACACGATAGCCTTATGTAACTGATCCATGTTAGCTGCAAGGCACGGTGCCCTGGATCTCCATCCTCACCAAAGAATTTTTGTTTCTCAGAATGATCAGGCACACAGACAATCATATAAGTATCTAATCGTCTCTTCTTTTGTTGAAAAGAGAGTACTTCGTCAGGTTCAAATCCTTCTCCATAGCAGATCCCCAAATACCAAGAGCACAGACCCCCCCCCCCCCCCTTTATTTTTATCTCCTTAGAAGATATATGAGTTAGCCCAGAATGGTAAAATGGAAGAGGCTGACAAAATGAGCTCTAGACTAATACTTCTGAAAACTGCTTCTGCAAGAACGAACACATCTCATTGGGGCTAAAGAAAAACAAAAGGCAAGATGAGCCTCAGGAATAACAAGTTTCACCAATATGAAATATTATAGGAAATTACCCCAGCTAGTGGCGAAGTAGCCAAACCAAGACACCTATGGGCAAAGGGAGATCAACCCTTAATCACAGAAGTCATCCTAAAAAGTGTGAGCTGCAGAAAAATATAAAAAATGGACCTATGGAAAGCTTCCAAGATTTATACCTAGCACAAAGTTGGAATACCTTCATGAAAGTCCAAGCTCTGGGATGAAACTACGTGGGGGAAACTTTCAAATGGTCCATCAAGGCCACCTCAAAATCAGAAAGGGGCAAGTATATCCACAAATTGGTGAAAAGATATCCATATAAAGGAACCAAACAGTCTTCAAAAGAGGTTCATATTCTCTCCCATGGACCTATTGGGAGAACCAATTAATCTGAGGGGTCGCCAACTGTAATGTTAGCTTTTGTTATAGCCTCAATAATATTCAAGACAGAGGAAGTTCCAACCACTTCAGCGGCCACCAACATTAGGCGGCTCAATTAGCCAAAGACCCTGACGGGCTAGTCCTTCAGCTTTATAGTGATCACTAGGACTGACCCAAGAAATATACTCAATTGCCCATGGCATTCCAAATGACCTACGATTTCAAAAATGCTAGACTCACAACCACTAGTTTGCCTATATAGTCGGACAAAGCCACCAACATGTTCCCTTCTCTGACGGACAACTACTATTTCTTCCTTAATAAAGACAGGGGAATGAATTAGCTTATCCATAAGATTTTCACCCCTATCAGGTTTCTCGGGAAATAGAGTCTCTGAGGAATCCCTAGAAAGAGCTTCATCTGAAGGAGATCCTCTAGATGTTCCTTCCATTTCTAAATCATCGATCAAAGGGATAATGTCAATTTTAAAACCCACATTGACAAGAGAAAAGGAATGTGATTCATACTCCATTTCCCTTTTTGAAGATGAAGAATCACTATCCTTCGAATCACTCTCGATGATAATAGGGTTATCATTCATCGTAATGAAAATACAGTAAATGTTGGATTGAAAAGCTGAAAGGAAGAAAAAATACCTTAAAATGTAAGGTCAAAGGCATTAAAGCTAAAAAGAAGGCCGAAAGTCAAAACTTTGAAGGTTTGAAGTTTTGAGTATATAGAAGTTACTCATGCAAAAACACTCTTAGGGAATAGGGAAATACACAAAGAGACCAGAGAAATTCAATCTACAAGATAGAAAAAAAAGTTTCTCGATGGAGCCAATAGAGTGTATGACATGGGTTGCTGCTTGTTGGTCTGTTTTGATCTAGTAGGAATAATGTGTTGTTTGTAGAAAGAATCAAAGTTGTTAGAAAAATGCTAATCCAAGTTAAACTTTTAACTTAGGAATAATTGATTGTAAATTTCAACGTATTTAAAGACTGTACTTTAGATTCTTGTAACTTGTCTTTGTAAGGATTCGTAAAAAAGATTAGTCTACCCTTAATATCATTCTCTTATAAAAAAAAGTCTGACCCTCCTAATGCCGTCACAGATTAAAGAATACTATCAAGCGAACAATATAGTAGCATTTTAACTTCTTTCCGTTTAAGATATTGGACATTCTTTCTTTTGTCTAATTGACATTTTGTCTTCAATCTATTAAAAATAGAAAGTTGAGCAAAAATACGTATATTTTAAGTTATGTATTTCTAACATTTTCGGTTCTTTTTAGTCGATGATTTTTTGACATTTTTTTGTTAGAGAAAAACCTCAACAAAGATTGTTTGATTTCCTTAAAATCTCATCAACTCAACAACATGTAGATGTTTTATCAAGTCTTTATTTCTTCAACTTTTCACCAATATAATATATAAGCTTTAGGGTTGTTTGGTTTTAAGAGAAAACTGAATCGAATCAAATCAAATCATAGTTAAAGTTCATTTTTACTCAGAACCAAACTGAAATAAAATTATTAGTTTAGTATACCGTCTAGAAATTTCAAACCATATCAAATTGTTAGAAGACAATTTTTTTCAAACTGAACCATTTGAAGAACCGAACCATTAAACAATTTTGTTGAATAAAAAAAAAACACTTGTTTTTAGTATTTTCCTTTTTCAGTTTCGATCAGTTTATTTATCATATAGTTCGGTTCTAGAACTGTACAATATGATTTTATTCACTAACAAAATATAACGGTTCAGTTATTTTAACTTCAGTTCACAAATTTTTTAACACCCCTAATAAACTTGTACTACAAACTTTGTATTGCCTAGCTTATACGAAATATTAGTAATATATCACCTACTGATAATTGGAATCATGGTTATTAATTAGTTGGTTAGCTAATTGTGTTATAACTTTTTAATTGTTCGTTAAATACATGAGACACAACAATTTTGATTGCTTTTGTGGCTATTCCTGTCATTGAGGATATCTGTCATTTATGTTTCCTATTTTATATTTTGAGAAATCAGAAAATAGAATCAAGAATATTCCTATTTGAATGTATAGAATTAGACTTCCTAATTTAGGTTGTACAACTTAGGAAATAGAGTTAATTAGTCATTATTACTTGTAAATGTAATTGTATTATATATAGAAGAGAATAGAAACATAGAAGGCATCAAGCCAATTACATTTGACATGGTATCACTAGTCTGATTCTGGTTTTGTAGATTGATAATCTTGGTTTTTTGGTTCGTGTTGTGCTGCTGTAGCGTATACGGGTCCTGTTTCTTGCTGTAGCGCATTTTTTTCTTGATGTTCTGTGTGTGCAACGTTACTGATTTTTTATTGTTCTATCTCTGCAATGTTGCTGTTTTTTTTTTGTGCTATCTTATTTTTTTGGTCAGATTGCTTTGCTCCTCGTGGCTTCAGAAAAGACTTTCGACAACTTATGTGTCCGCTTTACGGACAAAAATTATTGAGCTTGGGAGTTTCAGTTCCAAATGTTTGTGAAAGGGAAAGGCCTTTGGGACGACCATGTAGATAAGTCCACTGCTCCGACAGACAAAACGGCATTGGCGGTGTGGCAAACAAAGGATGCCCAAGTTATAACTGGGATTCTAGCTTCTGTTGAACCTCACATGATCAAAAACCTACGTTCTTGCTCTACTGCTAAAGATATGTGGGACTATCTGAAGCATATTTACAATTAGGACAACGTTGCCAAATGGTTCCAATTGGAGCTCGATGTTGCTAACTACCGCCAGGGAAATCTCCATATCCAGAACTATTACTCTGAGTTCCTTACTCTTTGGGTGGATCATTCAGCTATCTTACACGCCGATGTTTCTAAAGATTCACTCACTATTGTCCAAAAAGTTTATCAGATTAACCAACGGGACCAATTTCTCATGAAGCTTTTACCTGAATGTGAAGTTGTGCGTGCATCTTTATTGAATAGGAATCATGCCCCTTCCTTGGATGTTTGTCTTGCGGAATTACTTCAAGAAGAGCAGCGTCTTCTGACCTTATCCCATGATGACTTTGTTGCTGATCATGTCTTTGTTGCCTACACTGCCCAAAGTAAAGGCATGGGTCGTGATATGCGACAAGTTCAATGCTTTTCTTGAAAGCAATTTGGTCATACCGCTCGGAATTGTAGTAAGAAATTTTGCAACTATTGTAAACAACATGGTCACATCATCGCAGATTGCCCAACTAGACCACCGTGGAAGCCATTGCATGCCTTACATGCAACTACAACTTCTATGGACCAGACTTCTGCTCCTACAACTTCTAGTGCTTCTCCCTTGACTCTAGAGGCCGTACAACAAATGGTACTTGCAGCCCTTTCTGCCTTGGGTCTTCATGGTAAGTTTAAAACTCCATCTCAACCTTGGCTTGTTGATTCTGGGGCCTCTAACCACATGACTGGTTCCCCTGAAAAATTATACAATGTTCATACTTATCATGGCACCCAAAATATCCAAATTGCTGATGGTAATACTCTTTCTATTTCTACTGTTGGAGACATTAATTCCTCCTTTCGAGATGTGTTTGTTTCCCCTGGACTTGTTTCAAATTTGATTTCAGTTGGACAATTGATCGATAACAATTGTAATGTTAATTTCTCTCGTGATGGTTATTTTGTGCAAAATCAAGCGTCTTGGAAAGTGATCGCGAGGGGGCCTAAAGTGGGAAGACTATTTCCTCTCTGATTTTCTTTGTCTAATATTGTCTTTTGCTTATAATGGTGTCCCGAATAAGTATGAGGGCTGTCATAAAAAATTGGGTCACCCAAACTCAGTTGTTTTCGGCTCATTTATTGAAAAGTGGATTGTAGAGTAATAAAATTGTTATTCCTAATTCTGTATTTGATTGTTCTGTGTGCAAACTTGCTAAAAGCAATACTCTTCCCTTTCCCTCTATATCTCATCGTGCTAATAAATGTTTTGATCTTATTCAGAGTGATGTTTGGGGTATGTCACGAGTCTTGTCTCATGCAAAGTATAAATACTTTGTAACTTTTATTGATGACTATAGCCGATTTACATGGATCTATTTTCTTTGCTCTAAATCTGATGTCTTTTGCATGTTTAAAAAGTTTTTGGCATATATAGAGACTCAGTTTGACACAGGTATCAAGGTTTTGTATACTGATTCTGGTGGGGAATATATTTCTCACAACTTTCAAGAGTACTTGCAGCAAAAGGGGATAAACAATACTAAATCACTAACACTACCTTTGATAAAAGTATATTTTCTTACAACACCTTCTCTAAGAAACCCAACCTTTTCCAAAACTCTATGTGAAGCCTTATTATCCACATCAGCAAAAGCCTACAACCTTAACAAATCAGAAAAATCGTTAAATACATGAGACACAACAATTTTGATTGCTTTTGTGGCTATTCCATGTCCCCAATAGTTTGCAATAATAGCATAACCTATGTCAGCTTTGCATCTATCATCGCCCGACCAATGATATACAGATACAAAACCGATAGACAGATAAAATGGCACCATGGGTGAGGTATGAGGACATCTTTGATGAAGGCTATAGCTTCTTTCCTTGATAAACATGTCTTCCATCGTATGTTTTTGGTTACTTCGTTGTCACCTGCCCATATGAAGAAATCGTCAACGTCTGTTAGCTTGAATGGCCTCAGAGATATCCTAGACAGATCCACCTTTGCCATGTTAATTAGTCAAATGCATGTTGTTATTCTTGTTACCTACTATACTCCTATATTATATATTTGATTTATAACAAGTTTTGTATTTTTATAATAAAGGTATAAACAACCAATTTCTAATAACATTATTTGAAATTTGACTTGAATTTAGGGGCAAAATATTTGTTAAATAAGTGTTTGTATTAGAGAGAGAGAGAGAGAGAGAGAGAGAGAGAGAGAGAGAGAGAGAGAGAGAGAGAGAGAGAGAGAGAGAGAGAGAGAGAGAGAGAGAGAGAGAGAGAGAGAGAGAGAGAGAGAGAGAGAGAGAGAGAGAGAGAGAGAGAGAGAGAGAGAGAGGATATTAGATTTGAATACAATTTAAATCATTTAATCATATTAATAAATAAGGATTACGTGGAGCATGTTGATAACAAGTTGTATTGCTATTTTTTTTATAGTAAAATTAATCTTCTTATAAATTATGTTTAAAAAGTTAATCTTTGTAAAAGATCTATTGTTTTTGGTGCTAGGAAGTGCATTCTGATGCTATAATTTTATAAACCAGGATGATATAGAATGATTTAGAGATGTTGGTGCCTTAGCGAATCTTCAAAAGGTGAGATTTATTTATGGGTGTTTTTCTTCTCTATTATGGAAAGTATTATGGGAAAGTATTGATCGGATAGTGCAATTTATTTATCTGTCACTGGATTCATACAATTGAGTGTTCTTGCCATCTTTTGTATCCTTTTAGACACAATTCAGGTTTTTGAAGCAGTATTGATTATATTGTATGCTATTGATGATAATGGATTAGCGAATCCATTAATGAATCTGCAGATATCGAAAATAATTTGTGCGACAATACTCTTGAAACATTTGATCAACGAGGTTGAGTTGTCTGATAAGGTGGATT